GCTTCCCTACTTTCTAATTTACCTATGTGCTGAGAAGAGACTGTTGTGAGATATGCCTCTATCTATCAGATGATAAGTAATGAATTGCAAGTATCTTCAATAGTATCTATGACCACGACTTTACAAGTTAAAATGTTTGGAAACTAAATTTTTCTACTTAGTATGACAATTGAGGACATTAGCAATATTTGTGATTTATTCAACATTTAGTTTTTTATATTTGGGTTCTAGGAAATTTATTTAGAAAATAAATGAGTTCTGCTCCTAAAGTTGACTTAGTTAAAATATACCTTCCATAATAACAGTGCAATAAACCATTCACATTGTTCACACATATAAAAAGAAATCTAATATACACTAATAAACATATATAAAAGGATTTCTGATTTATATACTTTAGGTATGGTGTATTACCTTTTGAAGAATTAACATGAAAGATATGCAATTTTACTTACCACATTAAGCTATAAAGGTCTAAGAGGCAATAAAAGCTGAGTATGAAAGATGTGTAAAAAGTAAGGATACATTCATTTTTTTTCCTTTTCAATATTAAACTGAAGTCCCAGTTTTGTCGGTAAAGCAAGTAGATAGATTGACTCCAAGAGCTCAGGGTCATCAAAAGAAAATAATATTCCATATTCACTTTACTCTTTCTCCTCTCCTTGCAAGGAGAGTAGTACCATGGAATAAGACATAAGATCTAAACCAGTTCTCTGAATCTAACAACCTTAATAAGTTGATGATGAGGCGAAGTGGGATTTTTTTCTCCTCAATTTTAACAAATTTTTAGATGCATTTAAGAAACTACTGAGCAAAGAGTCCACGAAATGTAAACAAACGATTAGATGTATTTGGTAAGCAACATTATTTTTTATCATTCGCATTCAATTAAAAGAAAGTCCATACTTCATTGCTTAGAACCAGAATTACGCTCCAAATCAGAAACACTATGATTGTTTTATTTTTAGTGCTTCATATATAACTGAAGTCTCAAGACTACTTTTAGATACAGGAATCACTTAAATCCTCCAAAGCAAATCAAACAGGAAGTCAAGGGCACCGAGTACAAAAATCCTTCTATGTCAGGTTTTCTTCCAGTCCCATCACGCTTCCTATCAGCCCATTTCCTTCCCTATATATCCTTGACTTCTAACAGATACTCTCTGTTTTGCAGAACCCACTGTTAAAATTAACTGGAGCTTCCAGTTTTATTCAGAGGTAAATGACTTTACTCCTATAACTTGCCCTTCATACCTTTTGGGATTCTCAATTACAGGAGAATATTTTTACCTCAATTACTTAATTTTCTTTAGTTGCATAATATTCATAAATCTTTTAATAGAACAGGATTATTTTTACAAGGAGGTACAAAGTGGAGTGTGAAATAATCAAAGAATGCACATACATGCCTCCCCAGCAAATAAAAAAGACATAACTTACTGAACACTAACTAAATAATGAGTGCTTAGTACTGTAGGGTAGAGAAGAAACTGAAGTTAGAGTTCCAGTCCTCAGGAGATTATACGTTGTCAGGGAAAAAAGCCAAATTGCTACAAAAGAAACAATGATGTCCATTTATGAAAGCTGTCCTCCCAGGAAATTACAAGTCCTCAATTACTTTTGAGTCCCCCATCTCCCTATATTAGATCAGTTACCAAGTCCTGCAGCTTCCATTTTTCGCGCATTTATCCCTTTCTATTCCTACTACCAGCTACTCAGGTCCAGAAGCTCATTATCACTTACTTGGACTTCTGTAAAATCTTTCTCATTTCCTGACAACAGACTTTGCTTCACACAGCTCTCAGAATGAGCCTTCTAAAATGCACCAGTAAGACTTGTATCCAGAATAAATGAAGAATGCTTATAGCTCAATAAAAAGAAAAAAAAATCCCCCAAAATTAAGCATGTGATTTGGAAAAGACACTTTACCAAGGATGATATATGAATGGCAATTAAGCACATTAAAAGATGCTCAATATCATTAGTAAGGAATTGCAAATGAAAACCATTATGATATACCACTACACTTCTGTTAGAATGGTAGGAGGAAAATGTAAAAATTGACAATACCAAGTGCAACAAGGATACAGAGCAACTGGAACTCTTACACCCTGCTGATGAGAATACAAAATAATACTACCCTTTGGGAAACAGTTTGGCGACGTCTTAGGGAATTAAACATTCACTCCATACATCAGCAGTCCCCAAGGGACCAGTTTCATGGAAGACAATTTGTCCACAGACAGGGTGGGGAGGAGGGGGGTTCAGGCGGTAATGCGAGCGATGGGGAGAGGCAGATGAAGCTTTGCTTGCTCACCCGCCACTCACCTCCTGCTGTGCGGCCCAGTTCCTAAGGAATTGCCATGCATGACCCATCAAACCCACTCCTACGTATTAATCCAAAAGAAGTGAAAACATGTTTCCACAAAAAACGTGTATGTTAATGTCTATAGTAGCTTTATATATACATAATCGCCAAAAAATTGAAAACCCAAATGTGCTTCAACTGGTGAATGGATAAACTAACTGTGGTAGGTCCATACAATGGAATATTACTTAGCAATAAAAAGGAATGAACTACCCATACACAAAACAACATGGGTGAATCTCAAATGCATTATACCAAGTAAAAGAAACCACACTCAAAAACCTACACAGTGTGATTGCATTTACATAAAATTCTGGAAAAGGTAAAATTATTGGGGCAGGACACAGATTGGGTGACTGCAACGGACTGGTGTGGGGGTGGGGCGGTGCTGACTCTAAAGAGGCAGAAGGAATTTTCTTGGGGTGGTAGCAGTGTTCTGCATCTGGATTGCAGTGGTGGTTACAAAACTATGAGCATGTGTCAAAACTCACAGAACTACAGACTAAAATATGTGTATTTTACTGTAAATAAATTAAGCCACAATAAAGTTGATTTAGAAAGGAAAAAAAGGAGGATCAGTGTTTCTATCAGAACAAAGTTCTAAGATAGAAAGAAACCCCTTCTGAAGAAACAAAAGTCCATAAGTTACTTCTCTATAACTGATGCCTTTCTAAACCAAAAAATGATGAGTGATTCAAAGGGAAATCTGAACAAGAAAACTGATAGACTCAACCTCTAACTGATTCTTCAGAGAATACAGACAGTCCAGAGACAACTTGTACACTATGATTTGGGCAAGTGTGAAAAGAAAGTGGGGATTTTTGTGTACTGTAAAAATCACGAGAGACAAACAAGTCTGTTTTAATTTTAATTCTTACACTTATCTTGGAAATTACCAGTAAGACAGCATATTCTACATACATACAAATCCTCTCTATTTGTACATTCATTACTATAAAGGTTATTTCTCTAATGTTTGGTTGTCCTTTGCTCATTATTTGTATCACTGCATTCTAATCTGGCTGCCTGGAGTTAAATTACTACCCTGCGAAGCTGTATCCCAAGCTCATTATAATTTCTGCTTAAGACAGCAAAAGAAATCGACTTGGATATTTTGGGTACCTTTCCTTTTTTGTTTTCAGTGAAATATTATTATTTAACATTTACTAAAAGGTAGTGTCAAGAAACATAATGTATTTAAACCGGAACTCACAAAAAACTTAACATTGATTTACATCAACTTTTCAGGGCCCAACATTTTTCATTTGTACATGTTTTCCAATTTCTACATATAGTCACAACATATATGCACAAAATAATTTATAAGTAATTATTTTAATTTGGAAGAGACCAAACAATGAAATACTCAAGTAATTAAATCACTCAAACTTTAAAATGAAACATTCTATCAGTAGTCAAGAGCCAAAATTATCCTTTAAATACCATACAGGCTTCCCAACTCAAATCCTCTTCAGATGTACACTTTCCTATAAAACTGCAATAAGCAAAGCACACAAGCACACTGTTCCAAATAACATAACTTTGGTGCCTAGAATCAGCTTAGGGTAGAGAAGCATTAAGGACAGAATTAGTAAGTATTTGGTCCAGTGGTCTAAGTATGGCTTGATTGCAAGCTAAGCTAAAAATTTCAAAGGGACTGCCAAATCTGTGGCCTAATAAATCAATGCCCCTTGAAATTTATGCCATCTTATTGCTGTAGATTCACTAATGCTAAAATGATTCCAATAAACTGACAGATTTTATTTGTAATTTCACTTAAAACAACAGAGCAATGTTTCACAATCACTACAATATTGCTGATGATGTTAATATATATGAATCTGTTGGTTGGGGGTAATTCTTTTCCTCTTCATAGTGGTAGGTTGTGTTAATACAACAAGTTTTCTTCTATTGCTCACTAAGGAGACAGTAATTGCCAACAGAATCGTACTGGGAATACAGACTTGCATAAATAATAGTCCAAAGGGCAGGTTTTACATATCTATAATGATTCTCAGATACATTTTGTTCTGCATGAACACACCAACACCGAAATGTGTCCTTTCCTATGGAGGATAAACTCCATATTTTCAGAAATGTGCAAACAAGAGAAACAAATTTAACTAGGCAGATTTCAGGTTCTTCTTTCTAGCAACTAAATGGAAAAGCAATTAACAGAATGCTCCTTTTTATCAAAAACTTATTACCCTTTCACTAAAAGCCCTAAAAAGTTGCTATTTTAAAGTTTTCAATGCTTCAGTTAGAAACATAACTGGCAGCCTCAGTATGAGTTCCAATGAATGTACTGTAATGTAAAACTGTACATGTCATTTCAAATATTGGTTGTATAATAAGGAAGTTTAAAGAAGATACTTTAATGCATTGTTGGCTGACACCACTATCTTCTGAGTTTATTTAGGGTATAAAGATTTCTAGAAATTCATTTAAAATAATATTTTCTGGTGATGAACTACATTTGGCAATTATTCTCCACTGAGCCCTCAGGTACTCTACTGCTTCTAAACATGGTAGGTATCATTTACCATTCAGCAGGGAAATTAACAAAAGTCCCCATTTCCCATTCTTAGATTATAATCTTTACTAAACCCCAAATGAAATGTAAATGTAGTACCTTTCATGATGTCCCAAATCTGACAGAAATTCATCTGCATGTCTTTGGAGTTCATTTCCTTCAAAATTCTTTAATTTCTTCAACTCACTTTGTAGAAAAAACCAGAGCTCTTTAGCTCCATTTTCAATCCTCCTCCTTAGGATTTCATGATCCTTCCCAAGACCTGCAGTCAAAGAATAGAGAGCATCAGCATTTCCAACATTTTGATGAAAGGAAATTTTCAATTATTTGTGCTAATGTCCATAGATTGAAGAGGAAAAACAATGTATCATTACCTACCATTTCTAGTTTGTTTCTTATAATTTTCAATCTGTTCTTTGGCCTTCACAAGCTGCTCTTCTAAAGCACGAACCCTTCCTGAAGCTGGCCCCTGATCAATGGGGCCTTCTGGTATTCTGTAGTTCAAGGAAGAAAATGTAAACATTTAGCTTATAAATTATGCAACAAAATACATGTTTACTTTGCTAAAACATTATTTATTGGTAACTCTAGAAGTCACTGGACCATATCATATATTAGAAGTACCAAATGAAATTCTTCTCTCCAAAGCTATAGGGTAAGATGTAAACACTGGAATGAAACTGAACAAACACACACAAATAAAATCTAGCTCATAGATGTATGATCTTCTAGGAATTAAGGAACCTGTAGAACTGTCTCCTAAAAACTTTCATCATACAACTTAGAATAACACCATCAGTGGCAAAGCGATCAATTCTTCATTAGTGCTGAGAATAACAAAGTTGAAGGAGAGGGTGACAAAAAGGCTTAAAAGGAGTAAGAAAGCACATAACTGAACCTGTGTCTATGTTCAAATAGCAAATGCAAATTATTTCTAAATTAACTATAATATCAGATATAAATCTGTGTTCCGATTCATGAACTCATGACCTCAGATTACTAAGCATGGGTTTTATAAAGAAGGGAAAGACAAGAATAGAAGATGAAGTATACCAGAAAAAACACCTGAAGATTAATGTTCTGTTTACATCAGGGATGGAAAATATCAGTCAACAAGACAAAATGTTGGAATATAGCAGAGGAACTCCAGGATCCCTTGCTTATATTATCAACCTGTACAGCTTCTTTCCAATCTGCACTTGTTTCTAACATATTTTGTTTTTATGTGACTTTTGGCAGTATTCTGTACTCCATTATGGCCATAAAAGATATCCACATCCTAATCCTGTAACCTGTAATGCTACCTTAGGTGACAAAAGAATCCTTATATGTGTGATTAAGTTAAGGACCCTGAGATAGGGAGACAGCCCTGGATTACCCAGGTGGGCCATAATTGTAACCACAGGTGTTCTTAAAAGAAGGGAGTAGAAGGAAATTTTATTATAAAAGAGGAGAAGGCGATGTGGTTAATTAGTTTTGAAGATGGAGGAAGGGGTCATGACCAAAAAATGCAAGGAAGGCATCTTTAGAAGCTGGAAAAGGCAAAGAAACAGATTCTCCCCTAGAGCTTCTCTAGTGAATGTGGCCCCACTGACACCTTGGTTTTGCCCCAGTGAAACTCATTTCAGACATCTGCCCTCCCAAACTGTAAAAGAATAAATTTCAATTTATTCTGTTTTAAGCCACAGAGTTTATTGTATGTGTTACAGCAGCTATAGGAAACTAATACATATACACATATTTACATACATGCATACATATACCTATATACTTTTTTTTTTTTTTTTTTTTTTTTTTTTGCGGTACACGGGCCTCTCACTGTTGTGGCCTCTCCCGTTGTGGAGAACAGGCTCCAGATGCGCAGGCTCAGCGGCCATAGCCCACGGGCCCAGCCGCTCCGTGGCATGAGGGATCTTCCTGGACTGGGGCACGAACCCGTGTCCCCTGCATCGTCAGGCGGACTCTCAACCACTGCGCCACCAGGGAAGCCCTACATATATACTTTTGAAAAAATATTAAGAAGATTAAATAATGGCTGATTTTTCTTCCAAAATCTATTTAAAGGAGAAACTGCCTCTAAAAGTACGAAGCACAGTGTCTGTCAATAAAGCTTAACAGGAATATTGTATCTGGGGTCAGTCATTCTACAGATGAGCTGTAATATCAAAATTCCTGGGATATCTATTCTTAACATCACAATCATTTTGGGGAAACAATTTCTAAATTATACTTGGCAGAACTTAAACTTAGCTATCAACCTGAGGAGAAAACTAATACGAAGAGGGCAGACAGCAGAAGCAAGAAGAACTACAATCCTGCAGACTGTGGAATGAAAGCCACATTCCCAGAAAGATAGACAAAATAAAAAGGCAGAGGGATATGTACCCGATGAAGGAACAAGATAAAACCCCAGAAAAACAATTAAATGAAGTGGAGATAGGCAACCTTCCAGAAAAAGAATTCAGAATAGTGATAGGGAAGATGATCCAGAACCTCAGAAAAAGATTGGAGGCAAAGATCGAGAAGATGCAAGAAATGTTTAACAAAGACCTAGAAGAATTAAAGAACAAACACCTAGAAGAATTAAAGAACCAACACACAGAGATGAACAATACAATAACTGAAATGAAAACTATACTAGAGGGAATCAATAGCAGAATAAATGAAACAGAAGAACGGATGAGTGACCTGGAAGACAGAATGGTACAATTCACTGCCATGGAACAGAATAAAGAAAAACAAATGAAAAGAAATGAAGACAGCCTAAGAGAGCTCTGGGACAACATTAAACAAACAAACATTCGTATTATAGGGGTCGCAAAAGGAGAAGAGAGAGGAAAAGGACCCGAGAAAATATTTGAAGAGGGAGTGGCACAATATATTAAAAGTGATGAAAGGGAAGAACCTACAACCAAGATTAATCTACCTGGCAAGGATCTCATTCAGATTTGACGGAGAAATTAAAACCTTTACAGACAAGCAAAAGCTAAGAGAATTTAGCACCACCAAACCAGCTCGGCAGCAAATGCTAAAGGAACTTCTCTAAGTGGGAAACACAAGAGAAGAAAAGGACCTACAAAAAGAAATCCAAAACAATTAAGAAAATGGTAATAGGAACATATACATCGATAATTACCTTAAATGTGAATGGATTCAATGCTCCAACCAAAAGACACAGATTTGCTGAATTGATACAAAAATGAGACCCATATATATGCTGTCTACAAGAGACCCACTTCAGACCTAGGGACACATACAGACTGAAAGTGAGGGGATGGAAAAAGATATTCCAGGCAAATGGAAATCAAAAGAAAGCTAGAGTGGCAATACTCATATCAGATAAAATAGACTTTAAAATAATGAATGTTACAAGAAACAAGGAAAGACACTACATAATGATCAAGGGATCCATCCAAGAAGAAGATATAACAATTATAAATATATATGCACCCAACATAGGAGCACCTCAATACATAAGGCAAATGCTAACAGCTATAAAAGAGGAAATAGACAGTAACACCGTAATAGTGGGGGACTTTAACACCTCACTTACACCATTGGAAGATCAACCAGACAGAAAATTAATAAGGAAACACAAGCTTTAAATGACACAACAGATCAAATACATTTCATTGATATTTAAAGGACATTCTATCCGAAAACAGAAGATTACACTTTCTTCTCAAATGCACATGGAACATTCTCCAGGATAGATCACATCTTGGGTCATAATTCAAGCCTCAGTACAGTTAAGAAAACTGAAATCATATCAAGCATCTTTTCTGACCACAACGCTATGAGATTAGAAATCAATTACAGGGGAAAAAATGTAAAAAACACAAACACATGGAGGCTATAGAATACGTTACTAAATAACCAAGAGATCATGGAAGGAATCAAAGAGAAAATAAAAAAATACCTAGAGACAAATGACAACAAAAACATGACAATCCAAAACCTGTGGGACAACAAAAACATGACAATCCCAAACCTGTGGGATACTGCAAAAGCAGTTCTAAGAGGGAAGTTTAGAGCAATACAATCCTACCTCAAGAAACAAGAAAAATCTCTAATAAACAATCTAACTTTATACCTAAAGGAACTAGAGAAAGAAGAACAAACAAAACCAAAGTTAGCAGAAGGAAAGAAATTATAAAGATCAGAGCAGAAATAAATGAAATATAAATGGAGAAAACAATAGCAAAGATCAATAAAACTTAAAAGCTGGTTCTTTAAGAAGATGAACAAAATTGATAAACTGTTAGCCAGACTCATCAAGAAAAAGAGGGAGTGGACTGAAATCAATAAAATTAGAAATGAAAATGGAGACGTTACAACAGACACCGCAGAAAAACAAAAGATCGTAAGAGACTACTACAAGCAACTCTGTGCAGAAGACAACCTTGAAAATGGTAGTCATGAAAATGGAAAACCTTAAGAAATGGACAAATTCTTAGAAAGGTATAACCTTCGAAAACTGAACCAGGAAGACATAGAAAATATGAACAGACCAATCACAAGTAATGAAACTGAAACTGTGATTAAACATCTTCCAACAAACAAAAGTCCAGGACCAGACTGCTTTACAGGTGAATACTATCAAACATTTAGAGAGGAGCTAACACCCATCCTTCTCAAACTCTTCCAAAATACTGCAGAGGAAGGAACACTCCCAAACTCATTCTACGAGGCCACCATCACCCTGATACCAAAACCAGACAGGGATACTACAAAAAAGAAAATTACAGAACAATATCACTGAGGAATATAGATGCAAAAATCCTCAAAAAAATACTAGCAAACAGAATCCAACAACACATTAAAAGTGTCATAAACCATGATCAAGTGAGATTTATCCCAGGGATGCAAGGATTCCTAAATAGATGCAAATCAATCAATGTGATACACCATGTTAACAAACTGAAGAGTGAAAACAATATGCTCATCTCAATAGATGCAGAAAAAGCTTTTGATAAAATTCCACACACATTTATGATAAAAACCCTCCAGAAAGTGGGCACAGAGGGAACCTACCTCAACATCATAAAGGCCATATATGACAAACCCACAGCAAACACTATTTCAATGGTGAAAAACTGAAAGCATTTCCTCTAAGATCAAGAACAAGACAAGGATGTCCACTCTCACCACTATTATTCAACATAGTTTTGGAAGTCCTAGAGAAGAAAAAGAAATAAATGGAATACAAATTGGAAAAGAAGTAAAACTGTCACTGTTTGCAGATGACATGATACTTATACATAGATAATCCTAAAGATGCCACCAGAAAACTACTAGAGCTCATCAATGAATTGGCAAAGTTACAGGATACAAAATTAATGCATAGAAATCTCTTGCATTCCTATACACTAAGAACAAAAGATCAGAAAGAGAAATTAAGGAAACAATCCCATTCACCACTGCAACAAAAAGAATAAAATACCTAGGAGTAAACCTACCTAAGGAGGTAAAAGACCTGTACTCAGAAAACTAT